ACTGGGAGGGACTGGGAGGGAACTGGGAGGGACTGGGAGGAACTGGGAGGAACTGGGAGGGACTGGGAGGGAAATGGGAGGGACTGGGATGGACTGGGATGGACTGGGAGGGAACTGGAGGGAACTGGGAGGGAACTGGGAGGAGATTTGGGGTCACTGGGAGGGAATTTGGGGTCACTGGGGGGGACTGGGATGAACTGGGAGGGGTTTGGGGATTCCCAGGATGGATTTTGGCGTTTTTGGGTGGATTTTGGGGGAATTTTGATGAAAATTTCGGGGGTTTTGGGTGGATTTTGATGGGGATTTTTGGTGGTTTGGGTTTTTGGGGATTTTGGGGTGAATTTCGGGGATTTTGGCACCTCAGGAGGAGCCTGAGGACGTGGCAGAGCCCCGAAAATCTCGAGTGCAGGGTCAGGACCCCAACCCAGGGGGAATTTTGGGGTGGATTTTTGGGATTTTGGGTGGATTTTGATGGGGATTTTTGGTGTTTTGGGTTTTTGGGGATTTTGGGGTGAATTTCAGGGATTTTGGTACCTCAGGAGCAGCCTGAGGACGCGGCAGAGCCCCGAAAATCTCGAGTGCAGGGTCAGGACCCCCCCGGCGTCGCCGTCCTGGGGCGGGGGCAGCAGCAGCTCCACGCCGGGACCCTCGTACGGGAGCGGGTCTGGGGCCAAAAACCCCAAAAGTCACCCCAAAACCACGCCAAATGACCCCAAAATGACCCAAAATCCCCCAAATTCACCCCAAATTTCCCTCCCCACCCCTCACCGGTCTCACAGCCGTCTAAGAGAGCTCCCAGCAGCCCGTGCAGGGTGGCCAGCAGCCCCTAAATGCCCCCATACACCACCCCAAATCCCCCCTAAATCACCCCAAATCCCCCCTAAATCACCCCAAATCCCCCCTAAACCACCCCAAATCCCCCCAAATGACCCAAAATCCCCCAAATTCACCCCAAATTCCCGTCCCCACCCCTCACCGGTCTCACAGCCCTCGAAAAGGGCTCCCAGCAGCCCGTGCAGGGTGGCCAGCACGCCCTGCAGCTGCTGGTGCCAGCACTCCGTGTGCCGCAGCCCCTGCGAGAAACCTCGGCCCAGCGCCGGCAGCAGCGCGTAGCACTCGCAGGCCAGCTGGAAACGGGGAGAAACGGGGTGAGGGACCCCAAAAACGGGGCTGGGACCCCAAAATTCCGATCCGGGGACCTCGAAAACCGCCCAAAACTGCCCCAGAAACCCCAAAAACTGCCCCAGAAACCCCAAAAACTGCCCCAAAACTGCCCCAGAACTCCCAGCCCAGCGCCGGCAGCAGCGCGTAGCACTCGCAG